GACGATAGTATTTGTGTAGGCAACTCAAATGATTGAGATTGTATATTGGGTTTAATTGGAACTGGGGGAGCTGGTCGTGGTAATGGTGCTATGGGTCGATTAAATGTTGTGGTTGATAAAGTATCTCGTAATTTACGTAAATTATTATAAAAATCCAAAAGATCTTCAAAACAAATGAGACAATCCGAAGATGGAATGGTTTTAAAATGGAAACTTGCTAAATGCCATTCAATAATAGTACGAAATAATTTAAGTTCATGTTCTGTATATGAATAGGATACTAATGGTGGAAGTGAACGAGCTAAGAGTGTATGCCGTTGCCATGATTCACTTTCAAATAAAGTACGTTCAACGTACATTTTTGATATATAACGTTGATTTATACCATTTTCATGTCTAGAATATCAAAACGAAATTAGATTTCTTTAGAAATCAATTGAATAGTTTAACAATATTCACATCACGGTTTCTTCTCATTCGTTTTTCTTCCATTAATACAAAACTATTGTTTCGGAAACAGATTACTCATATATGGTATGTCAAAATAGAAGCTGAAACTCTTCAATCTTAATTTCGATGATTTCATTTAACATATAGGATAAGTTATTTATCTTTTTTCAATGGAAATAGAAAACATGTGTTTTACTATTTGAAATAAAATTAGTCTTTTTTCTCTTACATGTGATTCAGTACATAAAATGCATGACTAATTTAAAAAAAAACAAGCTTTTCTTTACACATTAATACCTGTAAATAACTGGTAGATAACGTCCTTCGATTTCTTCCCATGAAAAATGATTTAAACGACTTGGATAATCTAATGTTGGGGATGTCGAACCTGTTTTTAATGAAGAATTTGTTAATGTTGTTGCTGTTGTTGTTATATTAGTAAGTAACTTTGTCATTTCATTTGGATCAGCTATTGTATGACAATATGCAATGACACCATTATAATGAGAAATATTTGGATGTATAGCTGTTGTAATCACTTCAGATAGATGAAGATTTTTAACTACAGCTGCATGTTGTTGTTGAATACGTTGTTGTTTATTTTGATGATTTTCAAGTTTTATTGGTGATGTCATTGTTGATGATGTCGGTGAGAATAGAAGAACATCTGTATAATGATAGATTTTCATAAATTTAAATATAGGTTGACAATATTAGAAAAATGCTTATAAAAGTGAACTAGCTATATGTTTTTTTTTTTGCTTTAATACTTTCATGTGCTTACTGATTTATTATGATAAACGTGAAACAAGAATATCTTACGTCAGCGATTGCTAATAGGATGTTTTATTTTCCGAGACCTGATTACTGTTCTCACATATAAACTTCACAGCATGTGTGTGAAACATACTAAGTTTTCTGTTTTTTTCTTCATCGTCTCATTACACATTACCAACATCACGATGGCAAGAGGGTTGAGAGAAGGGTTTAGCCCTTCTACGCATTCTTTCATTCTCTCGATAACGATAGCAATGCTGATGGTTACCCTTTTCAATCGTTCGCTGTGTATGCCTCTCTTTTTCTACATCGAACAAGCATGCATGTCTTTGCCTCCAACATATTACATATATAATTGCGAACGAAAGAAACCTCGCACACATAGGAGGAAAAGAAGAGACATAGCCGACGTCGGTCTTGTTCGTACCAACCTCGTGCAAGCCGATTGACTTTATGTAAAAAACTTTCCATAATGGTTGAACGTCATTCGTTCCAAAATTTTTCTTTTTCTTATCAATTGACAAAGATGGCATCAAAAATTTTAGATAAATGTGATAAAAATAAAAAAAAAAAAAAAATAAGGCACAAGGCATCGTTATTATTGAGCATTTTATAAACATAAAAAAAATCTGATAGAATAATAGATAGTTACTGAGAAAAATAAAATAATAATCACTTGGTTAATATTTTTGACGAGAAAAACATTCTATAGAACTATGTATATATATGTAGAAAGCCGACAAAAAAAAAACCATGGAAACCAACAGCATATTTTTTGTTGATGATTGTTCTGCTATGACATGTACATGTATGCATTTGTTTCTATTGGAAACAAATAAGAGTGTATTACACACACATAGAGTTTTAGCAACAAAGACTCATTTTAATAGAAATTAAATATGTGTGTTATATTGCTTATCTTTTCAAGTATTGCATAATAATCATTTTTTTTTTGAACAGCGAAACAAGAAGACTTTCTACATTTGTACATAGATTCTAGTCGATTTATACAATGTTAAAAAGATCCGAATTTTTTTTCTTTTGAAACAGATTGTTGCATAAAAGAGCTTTAATTTTTAATGCTCAATTTCATATTTGGTAAACGAAAGTTCGAAAGAGCATATAAACATACACATGGTAATAATGAAAGATAAAACATTTGCTTCTTTTCTTCTTCTGCTGATGATCCGTCGGCTTCTTCGAATAAAATGGACGCACATATTGGCTTTTATATCTCTGACTCGTTTTTTTTTATTGTTCCCTCTATGTCCATTGACAACATTATCTTTGGAGTCTATCTGCTCCCTTATGTATCTGATATCATCGTAAAACTATTTGATTATAGCACACATCTATACTTACCGTTGTTTTGTGAATGATGAGGGGATATTTTTCGATTTTGTCGTTTTCGACGACGATGACTATCAACTGATACAATATCATGCTTTGATAAATCCTCAACAATAGGTGGATGATTATGCTTTATAGTAAGAATCGGTAATGATCCATTTCCAATTAATTGATGTGCACGACCATTACAATGTGAACGATCTTCACATCGCCAATAAATAGTACGATTTTGTATTTTATCTTGTACATAACGATGACCACGATATATTAAACATGGTTTATGACGTTTTGTTTCAGCAAGTGCATATTCTTTTAAATGCATACTGTTTATATCTGTTGCCATAGATTATATTATAAACTGAGTGTGTGAAATAAGTTTTACTTATATCTTATTTGTGCAAATAACTAGTTGATGTGAACTTGTTGACAATATGTTAATTATTCGACGAAACACACGCACTGCCCTTTTTTGTCAGCCCCACGAACGCATGCATAGAACGCGAACGACTTCTCTCTCATTCTGTTCGTTTTTCTTCTTCTACTACTTCTTTTTTCTTTATGATTCTTTTGATCGTTCGCACTTTTTTATTGTAATATTGCTGTTTCTACCGATCTATATCAGTGCTTAGCAACCATTTCGTAATAAAAGAAACTTTTTATGCTATTTGATTAATCTACAAAATCAATTCCAAATATTTTTTTATCTATTTATTGCTTCTTTTTTAATATTTTCCACATCAATGGATTTTCTATATTTGTCATGTATATGAAACTTTCAAAATTATTTCTAATTTTTTCATGACATCAGAAATGATGGCCAATAAGTTCATGTTTTATTTGCATTCGATAATTTTGCACGCAAAGAACCTCATATCACCCGTTTTTCTTTTTTTTATTTATTCGCTTTTGTTCTTCTTGTCGCTATCGCTTTTCTTCGCAAGTTTTGTTTCATCGTTATTGCGCGTAAGTTTATAAAGGAGAAAAAAAAGAAATGCATACAGAAAAATGAATATCAAAGCACGTGAAGTATCGTTTGTATTTTTACGTAGCATTCAACATAGTAACTATTATAGCCGTATATTGGTTGTACGATGTGAACGGACAATACGGTATTATTTCGCTTGTACCTTTTGATGATACAAGCAATGAGCATTCATCTTACATGCATATTGTCGTTCTGTTTCAGTCATCCAATCGAATTTGTCGTATAAGTGTACGGTCAAAAAAAAGTCATCGGACCTGTATGTTTGCTATTGGCTTACAGCCAACTATGGGGCAAAATAAGGGTAGAGGAAAAGAAAGAATCGGCAACTAAAATGATATTTATCTATCTGTATGTTACTACTACCGAATAAGATAACATACAAAAAAAGGCTGTTACCAAGGCCAAACCTTTCAAATCCTTTATTCATCAAATATATTTAATTGAAAATGAATATGCAACAAATGTCTTGAAAATAAAAATGAATTCTTTCTAAACAATGAAGAACTAGTATAATATCTTCATCTTAACATATCAACAGATAGTTTGCAATCTATGAATATATATAGAATAAAAATCTTCTGAACGAATTCAATTCGAATCATGAAAAATCTTTCTTTGATATAAAGAAAATTAATTCATTACAAAATTATATAAAAACCAAGAGAAAAAAAATTCTCTTCAATTTGTCCTTAAACTTCCATTGAAAATTATCTTCTAACCTTGACATATAATTATACTTTTGTATATTTACATAAAACATTCATCGACAAAATTCCGTTTTTTTTGCCTTTTTCGATACTTGAAAAACACAAAATGACCTTGGATTCTACTCCAAATACCAAGGACAACATTACTTTCATATATATCCAGGCAATTCTTCTTAGCTAGAAAATTTCTATTGATTTGTCGAACAAATTCAGTCAATTAAAATAGAAACGTCGTTTCTTTTGTAGTTTTATCCTACAATTCAGTGTTGATGTTTGATATCTAAAAGTATTTATAAATGATTTCCAACAGACTATACATATCGAGATTTTGATACAAATACATATGCATGATCTTTTGGTAAAATAAGTTTGTCAAGTCATTTGCATGACTTTTATTCAGTTCAAGAAAAAAGAAAATAAGGACATTGACTTTCAACTTATTCAACAATTGACATTACTCATTATTGCCTTAGAGTATAATTCAAGAAAAATATAAATTGTTATTTTAATGTGAGAAATTATAAAGAAAAAGTAAACAAACAACGCCCAAAATTGAATAGAAAAATATACGTATTCATTTTGTTGCTCTATAAACTGGTTGACGTGTGTGAAAATGTCGTTATATGATGATTATCCATGAAGGAGGATAGATTGAATAAAAATGAATGGTTACATTTGATGACTATTGTTAGTCAAGAAGAAACAATTGAATTTATTAGATTGAATTAAAAATGTCTAATTTTGATGGTTTATCATATCATTCAATATCATTTGAAATGCAAGAAAATTTTCTATGTTCATATTGTCATCGTTTACTTGTTGAACCAAAAGTAATAATATGTGGTCATCGATATTGTTCATTGTGTCTCAAAAAATTCATCAAGTATAGAATTTTAAATTGACTTTTGTTTATTTAAATAATTTAGTTTTATTTTGCATTTATGTTTAGAAATGATGAATCAACAAATTGTATTGTAGATAATTGTAGTCAAATTATTACGAATGATGAAGTAAAGAAAACAAATTTGATAGAATAATAAACGAAGTGTTTTTTTTTTGTTGTTTAGATTTATACAGATTTTGGTGTCATAAATGATTTAAAACGTTTAACAGATATTATTTGTTATAATAAATCAAATGGTTGTTCTTGGCAAGGTAATTATATGGCTTACAAAGTAAGTTTTCTATCATACGCTTAGATTAAAAAAATCACTGTTTTTTGTGTTCTTTTTTAAGGAACATTTGCAAGTTTGTACATTTCAACATATTCAATGTGAATATTGTGCAATTACTTTTACAAATCACGTTTTATATGAACAACATGATCGAATTTGTCCAAAAGCACTTGTTTCATGTCCATTAAAGAAATTCGGGTGTAATACTCAGGTATTTTTTAAATAGCAGATTGGAGTGATTTCTTTGGCGAGGAGACATACTATAGTCCAGAAGAAAAATTTTTGTTTAGAAATGATTTTTCACTTTGTTGAACACAAAATGATCAACGAGAGAACTCTTAGTGTTTCTAAGGTTATACGCCCTTGTTTTTGACCGATTTTAGTTCTTGAACACACTTCAATCGATCAAGCTAAAATTTGAAGAGTAGTTTTTCCAGAAAATCCTAGTTTCCTATTGGGTCACTTCCTGGTATATTACTATCCCTAGCAAATCGCATCGGATTTCAGGGATAATTTTCAGCTTTTTTCCTATGAGAGAAATACGTAAAGATTCGAAGAGAAAATCGAAAACGATTGGTTTTTAACTCTGGAGAATATTTTCAAGTATCAATCATTAAAATTTAAGTTTGATTAAACATAGCTAGATGAAGGTCATTATGTTTCAGATTTTGGCCCTACGAGAATTACTAGAATTTTATTATAGAACAACGGCTTATTAGGAAAATTACATGAAGCAATTTCATCTATTTGCTAGTAAGAATCTGAAAAATGATTTGCGTTACTAAACGAGTTCTCTATCATGACTTGTGGACTTAGATAGCTCAATAAAATGCTTGAATGAGGATGTCAAGAAAACGAAGACCTCTGCAATAGTTCTCTAGCATCGATCTGACGCTTGCTTGGAAATTATTTTATTGGATACAGCAAAATTGTTTAGTACAGAAGAAAAAAACGTATCATGATATATAAGACGACCTCAATACCAGTAGAATCTGTAAATAGTAACTCTTAATAAATAAACAAATCATAATCATATACATGCCTATTAGAAATACAAACAATTTCATCATTATGAACACTAAAATATATCTTCGTCATCGTCTGATTGCATTTACTCACTTGGATACTGCTTCAGGCAATCATGCGAGTTTTGTTTATGAATACGATTATAATAAATCCTGTAATAATACATATTTGCCTGGAATAAACGATGGAGAAGCTGTCTGTTGTGATTTGATTCATAACGAAAATTTAACGTAGTTAAATTTTCGTTTAACAAAATCGTGTTATCTATTTTTTCAGTGGCTAATCCTGTTCTGTTTTTCCATTATTGTTGCATCTAAGGAGACGAGTACAGTGTTAGTACTGGATTAAAAAACCCTGATCTCGCAGATGTCTAGAACCGAGATATCTCATTTTACTCAGAATACTTTACTCTGTCAAATAAAATGATTGCTAAAAAAAAAGCTTCAACTATATGCCTGAAAACTAATTGTGCAGATCTAGACTTTCGAGACGTCCTCATCCAAGTAGTTGTATTGGAATTTCTAGGCTCACAAGTCCTGATAGAGAATCCTAGCTATTAATACCTGAGTAGAAAACTTAAAAACACAACTGCTCTAAAAATGTTGTGTCACTGTAGATTTCCTGATCTTAAAAATATCGTGGAACTTTCAGTGAGAATGTTTGTTTTCTTCTTTCAGTATTGGTTTCGCAATTTTTGATATCTAGTAGGTTTTTGAAGGTTAAAAACCTCATAAAAAAAAGGTAAAATCTCACATCGAAATTTTTCTGTATCACTTCCATGCTGATATTATATTCTATCGTATTCTAATTTAGAGTTTCTTTTTCTTTGCTCAACAATACTGAGTCACCTGATGCAGTATCCGTCTAAATTTTACTCCTTATTGACTAATTGATAAATGAAAGTATGCTGAACAGCGATGAAATCAATACCAGTTGGTATAACCTATTCATTTTTCTGCCTTCATCAGGTAAACTTATTTAAGGAACTTTTTTGTCCATGTTGAACACATTAAATGAAATATTTAGATTGACTTATCTGTCAGTAGATCGGCCGGTTTTAACCTATTCAAATGAGTAGTCTTCATAAAAAGTTTACACCAACTCCATCTTTAAAAATTGAAGGTGACCCTGCTTTTGGACTTATGGTTCTCCGCGACAGTACAACTGTATGGGGGACTCATGTTTGAAGAAAAACTTAAAAGCAAGTATTGAGAAATTTTTGAAGAAATCTTCAAAACTATCGAACTCGTTCACAACCTGAATCTTACGTGATTCGGTAAGACTGAAGTAGTTCTAGAGACGTTTGAGAAAAAATCTTAGAGGTGTTTATAATTTTACTGTATTAAAACAATATGGGAAGCGTTAGCTCACAAATCGATTGTTTACATTAATGCTTGAGACACTTTTCAGGGGAGGTTTAAAAAAATACCTCTGAGATTTTGTCTGAGGCACTTACAGAAAAAACTGCAGCTTCATCAGTTAGACTTTCGCAAAGAATCAAACATAGGCCAAAATACGAGGAATACTCTTAAGAACTTTATTCATCTATCTTTTATTTTTATAGATTCGTCGAGAAGCTCTTCAAGATCATATTTCATCATCCTCGGTTGAACACTTACAAATACTTGCTGATATTTGTTCATCGTTTCAAAATCAAGCAATAACAACTTATTCACAGCCATTATCGATACAATCTACAGCAATATCTACATCTGAAAATTTAGATATTAAATCATTACAAAATGAACTTATTAAACAAACACAGATAATTGAACAATTACGTTTAGAACAAAAATCTCTTCAGTCAATGTTGATAAAACGTGAACGTGATTTAACACGTGTATCTGTTGATTTACAATTATTTAAAGGTGATTTATGTCAATTAAAAAAAGAATTTGAATTATCAAAATCATTTATTCATAATGATGGAACCTATTTATGGAGAATTGACAATATTCAACAATCATTTCGTAATGCAAAAAATGCATCACAATCAATATGTATTACTTCATCTCCATTTTATACATCTAAATATGGATATAAAATGTCACTAAAATTATATTTAAATGGTGATAAATCTGTTCGAGATACATATTTATCAGTATATATTACAATTATGCGAGGAGAATATGATTCATTGTTGAATTGGCCATTTCAATATCCGATTACATTATGCTTATATGATCGTAATTTAAAACAAGATCATGTTGTTCATACAATAAAACCTGATTTAGATAGTGATTGTTTTCAACAACCAAAAATGGATGCTAATAAAAGTGGAGGTATACCAGAATTTTGTCCACTATGGAAAATTTTTAATAAAGAATTTGGTTATGTTCAACAAGATACAATGTATATTAAAGCTTTTGTTGATTTTAATATTTATCCAACTAAAATTTGGCCATATTGGACAAAATTACAATCATATGGTTTACCTACTAATGTTGAACATATTAAATTAGAAGAACAAATAGATAATGAAAAATAAGATATTTATATTGGATTGATTGCTTTATTTTAATAAAAAAAAGGAATGTTCCAAAAAACAAAATATAAATTATTTAATCAATGTGTCAAAATATAAAACGAATTTTAATTTCTCATAACTAAATGAAGAATGATTTATATCTCAAGTATTGGTGCAAAAAAAACATACCAAAATATTCTATTGTTTTATATTAAATAGACCCTGATGAATACTGATTTTCTATCGATATTAACTTGTAGTTCAAAATCAGCAATAATTTGTTGAATTCAATTTATGTACTTTTTTCTTTTGTTTTCGACAGTATGAAGAACATTTCAATTATATTTCAGTTAATAGAAAGAGCCAAACTACTAGTGTATGTTCATTAAAATTACACTAAACAATAAGATTCATACATGTTATGTTGACTAAAATTAAGAGAGGAACCATTAAATTAGATTTTCAAGGATTTCTGAAATCATAAGTATTGCGATGATAACTTTGGCAAAAACCCAGATTTCGAAACACTATGTGCCTTTCTCTGACAGTAAGTGAAATAAAAATAAGCAGATAATGTTGTTCCGAATTAAGTAAGATCGGGAGAACCGGATTTGTGGTAGTTCATTTTCTATGGAAGAGATCGACTCAAGATAGATTTCGCTCTTTCTCTTCTCTTCAGTTACCGTCTCTAGCACTCCGAGGATGAAAGCACTTTCTCTGAGAATTTTTGGACTTTTAGTTCTTTGTAAACCTAAACAATATTGAGAATCCTGAATCAGATGGTTCTATATATATATAGATATTTATATTCGTCTTTATCTTTGAGGGTTGTATTCCCAATTATGTCAAAGACTTTCATTTAAAAGACTCTGATCAATAGAGTTCTCAGTGATGATTCCAAAGAGAAATTCTAAGATTTCACATTAAAACGAAATTAAAAATCTATTTGATATCCATCGATGCATGAAAAATGAAACATCTAACGTTTTCAATAACATTTCGATTTATATTTACATCAATAGTGTGTGTGTGTCTTATTATTCAGTTTACTCTGAAAATTTTAGCCATAAATATTTAAAAGTCATAAAGCAAAATAATAGCTCTATCTCATGAGTTCTTGTTTGGTTGCAATAAAAATGTATTGCTCTTCTTGTCCGTTTGATTTTTCTGCCATTGTTTATTAGCGTCAATATTTGCAAAATGAGTAGGATTTTATTATGTTTCTCGTTGACTATTGAAGAACAATACTTCAAACAGAACAAAAAGACTATAAAATTTTATTCACTTAGCAAATGTTGATGTTAGTAAACGCAGAGAAAATATCTAAAAAGACGATAAGAACAACAAATCTTTGTTACATCTACACATCAGTCAATCAGATGCAAACTTCTCAATAAATTTTTATTATTCATGGCTGAAACTTTCTGAATAGACTCAGCATCAAGCCATGTATGAATACTATTGATATCAATCGACACGATGATACTATGCAGACATCATTCAACAAGTTAAGTATTTCGTTTATTTTACACAGGAGGATAGATGATCGGGAAATCTAGAAAGATCTTCTAGCGTAGATGAAAACTTATTGGAAACGGATGTGTTTGATAAAACACAATCATTTTGTACTATCAACCGATAGAAGCCATGTTTTTTTGATATAAACTATATGATTCATCTAATTTTTTAATTAAAATTAGTTTAGATAACTTATTAGATCTATACAAAGAGATCCAACACCTACTGTTTATTTTATAAGAAAACCTATGGAATGTCAAATATATAAAAAAAATAATAAAATAAAAAACCATATATAATCTACTCTTTTAATCGATAATGCAAACGATATTTCCGTGCTGTTATAAAGCTTTGTTGTATTATAAACAACAGTTTCCGATAAATTTAAAGTGATCGTTGTTGTTGTTATCAATTCTGATTCGTTCTTTGTTGAATTGTCATTTTTAATCAATTGTACTTGACATGTTCCTTCTAATATCAATTTTTCTGCATTAGTCCATTCACATAAATGTTCCTTTTTCTGTTTTATACAATAATCTTTTGTACAATTTGAAAATAAATTCGTTAAATTTGATATAAAATATCTATCTTGTCCTTGTTGTGTACATGTTAAATCAAAATAATCAATTAAATATTTTTCAAATTGTACTAACATACAATTACATTTTAAATTCGGATTATGATTGAAATCAAGAATACTTTGATTCTTATTATTTTCTAATAAACGACATAATAATTCATAAAATGTATTTAATAATAAAATATTATTAAAACGAAATGATAATTTTTGTAATGTTAAAATATTTATAAAACAAAATGAACGTGATGATATTGAATTTAAATATTTATTTGAATCAAAATCAATTGAACGTATTGAATAAAGATTTGATGCAAAATAATCATTTAAATATCGAATATTATTTGATGATAAATTTAAATTTTCAAGTGATGAACTAAATAAATTTGGAACATATTCAATTGAATTAAATGCTAAATTTAATATTCTTATATAATTAAGTGAACGAATAAAATAATTATCAATCGTATGAATATTATTATTATTAAGACGAAGTTCAATTAAATTATAAAAATTATTAAATAAATTATTACATAATGATGTTAGATTATTATAACTTAAATCGATTACTTTTAGATGATGATGATGATGTTCAGTTAATTTTAATAGTGTAAATAAACTTGAATTAGTTAATTGACATGATACAGCATAAAACTCTCGTAAAATTGTTAAATGAATAAATATTTCACCAAGGTCCAAATATTGAAGTGGATTATAGGATATATCAAAAATTTCTTGAAAGAAAAAAAAAAAGAAGTGATAGTTAATGTAATTAGTATTTTACCTAAACTAACGCCTGGAGAAATTAATGCTTTGGGATCGAATTGTTTCAATCGATTATGATCGAGAAGTAATTGTTTTAAATTTTTAATTTGATCAAATGCAGTTATATCGATTGTTTGAAGATAATTTGATTTTAAATTTAATTTTTCAACATATATATCAGAAAATACATAACTATCAACAGATTTAATATTATTTGATGAAAAATCTAATGCATACCAATGCATATTATTTGGTAATTTGGGTATGAAATTTAATTGTATATTATGACAACGTAATTGAGATTGATCACCTGAATGATAACATTGACAAAGAGGTGGTAAGATTAAATGTGTACAATCGGAAAATATTAACGGAGCAATGAAATCTTGACTTAAAGTTAAATGAACAATTGATAAATAGAAAATAAACATTTTGTCTAGTAAAACAAAAAAAAAAGAAAAGAAAAAAGGTACAACATTATATCCAAATATCTCTTTGTGTCTCAACGCATAATGCAAATATATATGTATATGTTACTAATATTCTTCAACAAAATAATGTTTTTTAATAACTATTAACAACTGTGAATGAGATTTGTTAGAGTATAATAGGTCGGATAAGACTAGTGTTTTTTCAATATAAATTCAGAGTTCCGAACATCGATTAGGATATCTTGAAAGAGTAAGAATCTAGTGAAAAGATTTAATCATATTTACAGATGACTGCAGAAAGTCTCTGAATCAAGATGCGAATGATTGTCATTATTATGAAAGAATATTATTATGTCTAATCTCACCTTGGTTTTTTAAACCACAAAACCACCCATATTATTACCTCAACATATGTGATAAAAGATGAACAAGATAATCGGTTGATATGTCAATCCTATTGGGCATATATGTAATGTGTCAATCAATCTCATTAGCACTAAAAGAAAAAAAAATCTTGTGTCCTTGATACTCAAGCTACCATTCATCAGAACAGTATTCTTGTCGTTTATTTTTTCTCTTTCAACAGTATCTTTGATACAACAGAGAGATCACATAGAGATATCAATAAATGATAAGAAAAAAAATATGGGTAGAGAGTAGAGCGATTTTTCTTATGTTTTGCATCAAAATGATAGTCGAATATCAGTATTTTATATACATAAGCTTTAGGCCTTTTACTTAATATAGAAAGAATATGTACTATTGTGATGGTATTTTTGTCATCAAATACAATGACAATGATTGATGGAACTAATTGAAAGACTGGAATCTAATTTTCTGACATTCTTCTTTAATTTACTATTCTTGTGTCATATCAATAGTAGATGTTTTTTCTTCGCAGTCGATCGCGCGCATATAACCTCGTGTCTGACATTTCAATCTCGATATGACGCACATAATGACATATTTTTCATTATTATCTTATTGTTCACATTATAAATAAAATAAGAAATACAATTGATTGCTTGTCATATTAAAACAAAAGATCTTTTTTCATGCATATGAACTCATATTATGAACTTTATTGTCTATTAGCAATGTAAATAATATTCTGATATTTAGTGACATCTATTATTAACTTTTTTTTAGTTTATTTATAAATTTTTCTTAAAAATGATCAAACACTATAGATAAAATTTTATTCATATATTTCAATAAAAACAAATGAAATAAACTATTACGAATGAAACATCTTATAAGAGTTAAATTATACTCATCAATGGTATCTGTACAGTTTCCGTGTTAATCGCAATTGTTATTGTTTTCTTCTCCTTCAAACACAATCAATCAAAAAAATTTTCATATTTTAGATAAAAATAATGGCTGCTTTACGTAAAAAACTCGTTATTGTTGGTGATGGTGCTTGTGGTTAGTTACATAAATGAATTTTATTTTATTTTCTTAGAAATCCATATTTCATGGTTTTTAGGTAAAACTTGTTTGTTAATTGTATTCAGTAAAGATCAATTTCCTGAAGTTTATGTTCCAACTGTCTTTGAAAATTATGTATCTGATATTGAAGTTGATGGAAAACAAGTTGAATTAGCATTATGGGATACAGCTGGACAAGAAGATTATGATCGTTTACGTCCATTATCATATCCAGATACAGATGTTATTCTTATGTGCTTTGCTATTGATAGTCCGGATAGTCTTGAGAATATTCCGGA